AGTTCATTCCGTCATGAATAATTACCAAATATAAGCGTCCCTCCACCTTCCTCCTCCGTTCCTTCCTTTTTTCTTTCTTTCCTTTTTGATTCTTCCTTTTTTTCTAGCAAAAGAGGGGGGGTGTAAGCCCCCTACGCCCCCCACCCGGATCCAGCTACGTAGAAGTCCTTGTGCGTTCAATATGATGAACTTTGGCAACAACAGCAACCCTCTGTCTCTTTTGTTGAGCTCTCTCGTGTTTTTATAATACCATTAGAGAAAAGAATTCTCGCATTTAAAAATTAATAACCGATGAAATTATTGATGAGAACCGCTACGAGAGCCGCGAGCAGTCAGTAATACCCTCAATGTGAATAAAATATGAATTCTTGAAACTTTTTTTTGGGGGTTATTAGGGTTGATAAAATAGAAGTGGGAAGAAAACGAGGGACTCTAAAAATAAAGGAGATTTTACCCTCGTTGAACAAGATATGAATCTTGCGCGCACAGCAAGTTCCGTTCCTAGGGAGCGCTTTTTACGTGGTGTGCTGTCCAGATAAAGTGCTTTAATCTTCCCAGTATTTATTTGTTTGATGGTTCAAAATGAAAATTAATGGTTGAAAAAAAGGAACACGTGTCCTCGATTTGCTGCTACGAACTTCCTCTCCACAAATTGTTTTTGCGACCTCTCTGGTTTTCGAATTTTTCGAGGTATCTCGTGCATATTGCGCACCCGTTAAAGGAGGTCTTTCAAAATTGTATACATCAGCCATGATATTGTCTAGCACAAGAATTTGTGACAATTCTTTGCTCTTTAAAGGACCTTTTTTCTTGCAATTTCTTTATTTATTTATGCTCTGTTGGTCATCCAGGGTGAAATTATCCCTCAGTTGCACTCACCCCCTTATGCAACTGCCAGAGGGCCAGCTCGAATACTGATGTGGCAGTATGGCAAGCAGCCAGAGTCTACTAGGAGCCCTAGCCAGGAAATAGGCTCGGCGGTTCCTCAGAATTAAGGATCAAAGGTTCCGTCCCTTACAGGTTTATTCATAGATTCATGCGATGAAATTGCAATTCATCGAAATTTTTCATCCGACAATATAGCAATAAATCGATGTCGATAGAATCGCGATACATTTTCCGATCAAATCGCAACTTATCGAGATAACTGGTTCCTCGGAAACTGTATCCAGGCTCGTTCCTTGTTATACTTCTTGTTATACTTGTTATACTTAGAGCATACTTCTATTGAAGCACGATAAATACCGCACCCCCACATTCCTCCTCGCAAGAATAAGAAAAGGAAAACCTTCTCCACTCTGTTTGATTACGATCGTCCTGTAACAATCCAAGATTCCATTCCAGTTGACCCCCGGCAGTTTGAGGAAATGAAATTTTATTTGGGCGGGATGTTCGCGACCCACTTCGAGGGCAATATTGAGCGCTTTTATGAGGCAATTTATTTGTTTCCCATGAAACACTGATGATGTATGCGGTCGGATCGCTTCTAAAAGTGGAAACATCCCTTTTTCCCGGACAATCTTTTTGATTACTCTCAGTTTCGATTCGCATCATTCCATCAAAAGCTCCCTCTTCAGATCCGAGGCGCACGAATGTTCCCGAACCCACAGCGTATACCTCGACACAATTTTGTATTTCTGAGGACATATGATTGCATCGATCTTACTATTACGCCCGAGAAGTAGAATTAATACTCAAAGCTTTTTGCCAACATCTTCCCCTCCAATGTGTCAACGATGTTGCAATATCCTTGTGGAAAAATTGAACTGATCTTGATGACAAATCGATGGTGAGACTTTGGTCAATTTTACACAGGGAAAACTAACACAGAAAAATCAGCCAACAGCTTGTGTTACTTCGTATTTTACTTCCCATATTATCACAAGATTTTGGTTTCTTTTTCGTACTGTGTCCGGTATTCACTCTATGTTAGTGCTGCAGAATATTTTCCCTCTGACCCGAACGGGAAACGGGGGGAATGTCAGCCCCCGAATAGCGGTTGAAAAATGTTCCGCCCGGAAAAATCCGGGATCCTTTCGGAGACTGGAAATGACCGGTGGAAAAAGATCATCTCATAACTCACGAGAGGCAATTTTCCAAACTTGAGCCCTGCCTCCTTTTGAGACTGGGCTCCTACACGCGGTGAAAATTTAACGACCCGAATGACTAATTGAAAAACGAGGACTTGTCACTCACTCGCGTTAGCCGAAGCTCTGTCGCCATGTGGCCTCAGAAAATACTCGCCCTTAGACTCAATTCATCAAAGCCTAATGTAATTAAAAATCGATCGCTTCGGTCACATTTTCTCGCTTCGACGGGACAAAGAAACTGTTCCATTGTCTCCGCTGAAAAATTCAACGCGATTTTTTAACCTCCTCTGGTCATATATACAAGGAGGTCTTGCAGTTTTTTGATGATTTTAAATTCCCGGGGGAAAAAATAGTTCATGCGAACGACATCGTTCTAACACCGTTTGACGTCGCGCAAAATTGCGTCATATGTTACATTTTTTCCTCGGGAAACTAAGGTTTATCATGCCTCGAAACTCTAGATTTTATCCTAGATAATGAAGATTATCTTTGCAAAATGCCCTCAAATACGATTTCTTCAGCTACGTGAAATACAGTCAAGCTGATTTTGATAATGCCGTCCAATCATTCTTCTGCGGGTTGATTATAGAAATTGATGGACAAAACAAGAGACAAAAAAGTCGAAGAGAAAATTGAGCGATCCTATTGATTGAAACGGGGAATTGGTATTGACGAATGGGGAAAATTATAGACTATACCTATATGAACTCTAATGAGTCGCCGTTAGTTAGTCTATTACTTTGCCCATTGCAATCACCTACTTCCACCTATAGGACCGCTTCGTTTTTTTTGCAGTCTTTGTCTGTGCCTTGCCTATCAATTTCAGTGATCAGCCCGCAGTGCGTGGAAAATGGTCAGAGAATCGAATTTCTGAAAATGTTGACTCAGACGAACTCCGTTTATTTTACAGCCCGTTTCATACTAAATCAACGATAGATATGCGTGAGATGCAGAGACCTCTCTCAGAATTTTCGGGTATCTTCTTCCCATCCTGAAATGGTCGCCGAGATTTTTACTTTCTCGCTCCCCTAGGGTAGAGAGGAAGTATTGTCATCCTCCAAGAAAAAAAAAAAGAAAAAAAGTTGCAATTTCATCATTTTTTTTCCATTCATTACGGGAGCCATGTTTCATGAAAAAAAACCTACAAAAACCGGTTCGTGGAGATCCACTTTGGTACAGAGCGACATCCGGGGTGCATTATTCTCCTAAAATTACCTATAAAGTTGATCCAAATCGACTAAGATTACTCAGAAGAAATATCAAGTTTGAAGTGAGGGTAGCGGGCGGAATTGTCACTCCTACTCTGCCGTGCTAAGGAAGAACGCCGTATGAACCTTCAGGCGTTGCCAAATTTCCTTTGATAAATCACGAATTTGCGGGCAAATTTTTAAATACCTTTCTTCCATTTTTCAGACAATTATGTTCGCAATTTCACCTAATGTTCCTGAAAATTTCAAGAAAAAATACTTTTTCATAGCTTTTCCCAAAAATAAATGTTTTATTTGGGGAATTTGGCAACTCTCGAATGTTCATACTGCGTTCTTCCTTAGCACGGTAGCACTACCCCCAGCCCTTCCCAAATGACGCTCCTGATCATGTCCGCGTTAGTGCTTCGACGGGAGGGCGACCCGCAGATCTGGACACGGGTATAAAAATGACATGGAAGTTGTATTGTCCTGCATACGGAAACAGGGATGAGGACTGCCGGAGCTTTGGAGTGGCGATACACGAATGATCGATTATCGATATTTCCCCACTTAAATCCATGGTAAAGAATCGATTATTGAGGTGTCCTTTGCGAACACCCTGTTAATCGATCCTTTTCCATAGGTTCAAATGACGGATCAATCGATTAATCGCAAAGCACGCCACGCCACTGGAGCTTTGTCACCGTTGNGGGGGGGGGGGGGGCAGACAGAGCGACAGAGCACTATACTGTTGGCAGCGCCTGCCTACGTCCTCGACCCCGATCCAAAGCTTCGATCAACCAAAAAGGGGGTTGTTTGCAGTACCTTTTATCTCCCTCCGTGTTCATTGTTGCGGTCCAGTCGTTACGGGCGGTTTTTTTATGACCGGCGTCGCCACGTTGCCGGGTTCCCCTTCACTCTGACGTCATCATTTTCGTGACGTAATTGTCGCAGACGGTCAAATCAGGATTTTCATCGAATGCCTAGGCGAATATTTAAATTTTTCGAGTTTACGAGTTTTTTTACGATTTCACAGAGACCTCTCTAATTTTCAATATTTTAAGACAAAAAATCTGTTACAGTACAAATTGTAACTTTATTTCCCGTTCAAAAATGCTCCTCATAATTTTTCATCCTCTTCATGCTCGCAATTTATTGTACAGTGGCAATTCTTGTGAGTTGACAACACTGTTTTTTCTGCATTCAAATATATGTTAAACAATCAATCTTAGGTGAAACAGCCCGTCTCACATATAACCGATAAATTCAATGGATTTAAATGGAGTATTGCCTATTGCCAGCAGTGTTGCCAACTTGCTGGAATCGCCACTGCTTACGTACGTCGTACATTAATACTTGAACGATCCATAACAAGGTCGATAGACCTAGGTCAGTCCGTGAGCAATATGTTTTTTGGAATAGCTAGATCTGGCGACGGATTCCCCCGATTTTCCGTTGCACTACTTTCCATACACTGCCGTTGCACTCGTTTCCCCGATTGGTGCTGCCCCACCGTATGGTTCCTCCCCGTTCCCTATTCGATCTTGCTGGAATGGATCTTCCTGGATCTGCTGGATCTTGCTTCGGGAATTTGCTGGCAACGCGGAAAGCCCTCACCCCTGATTTGCAAAGATCATCAAATTCAACTTTTCTAACGGACGGACCTAGGTCTATAGACGTTGGCCCCTGAATGAAAGCGTGGGAAATTGGTGTATGAACTGACCTGTCCGATAGTCTCGAGGAGGCGGTACTGGTTGAGCTGAAGAAAGCTGCCAGACTTGTCGATGCTGACCCTGCGGCTCTCCTTGAGCGGGGGCCGCCGCCGGACGGAGCGGGGCGAGGAGTAGGGGGAGAAAGGGACGTTGGGGTAGATGGGCCGGGTGGTGAGGTTCTGCGACTGCTGGGTCTGATTGAGGAGGGGGGCCAGTTCCCCCGCGTCGATCTGGATCTCCGGCTGGGTGAGGGATTTCTTGTACTCGGTGACCGTCGCCACGGGCACCGGCGCCGGCTTGGAGCGCGGAGGAGCCGCCAGCTCCGACTGGCTGAGCTGCGCGATCCTCTTGTACCGTCGAGCGAGGTCATGTCGCAGGGATGGGTCGAAAGACGTCGAGGGGGACTCATCATCTACTGCTGCGTGTCTGAAACAAAACAAAAAATTCAATTAATATTCTGTATAAATTCGGATGTAATCGGTGATCCCAAGAGTGCGGATCCGCGTCGCGAGGACCTTCCCTATAGCGGCACCGACCGCGTACGGACCAAAAGCTTATGGAAAAACGCTCTTCTATCTTAAACAGTCCGCAAAACTGATGACGTCGCAGAGTGGCAAAACAGCCAATAGCAGCACAGAGAGCGGCAGAGCGTGTGGGTTTCGCACCAACGAACCACACGTCTAGAAAGCTGCCATGCTCAGGAAAAACGCCGTAAGAGCCTTCAGGCGTTGCCAAATTTCCTTTCATAAAATACGAATTTATTGAGACAGTTGCGCAGATTTTCCCTCTACTTTTTCAGTCAATTTTCTTCTCATTTAAATCTCAATCACTTGAAAGTTTTGTGGGAAATTATGCACTGATTTCCTCCAAAATAGAATTTTTATCAGGGGAAATTTGACTACATTAGAATGTTCATACGACGTTTTTCCAACAAAATGTGGGCAGTGTTTAACATGGGTTTAGACGGCAGCCTGCAGTGTGAGCCCAAGTATACCTAACCGCTCGTATCAATTTCAAAGTGTTACGCAGTGTTTGCATCAATCAGTCGTTCTAGACGGGTAGTTCTTTGTTTCGCACACGGAGCACCAAGGAACACTAGATGCAACTAAGCTGACGGTGACGCAGTGGCGAGTCCAGAGTGAGTCGGAGGGGGGAGGCTTTTGCTAATGTCGAGTGGGGGATCGAGGGAGACACCGACAAGAGTAAGGGGATCCGAAAGAACTCCCCCGGAAATTTGAAAAAAAAAACTGGCCCTTCCCAGATTGACTTCTAGGCAGTTTTAGCATACAATTTGTGTAATATTTTGAAAGTTGAAAATCGACGAATAATACCTCTTTCTTCTTCTTTTTTCCGATTAGGGCTTCCAACTTTAATTAGCCTGAAGAGTTGATTTTATTCAAAATCAGAGACAGTTTCACGTTTCCCATGAAACACTTTAGATTGAGGATTCGTTGGTTTGATTGAAAATCCTTGACTCCTACAGAATTAAATTCAATATTCTTCTCCTGTTTAAGTAATAGCGGCAACCGAGAGAGTCTACGACCAAATAAATTTCAGCAGTGGCGTGGCGTGTTTTGCGATGTATCGATTGTTATGCCATTTAAACCTATGGTAAAGAATCGATTATTAAGATGTTCGCTGCGAACACCCTGTTTATCGATCCTTTTCCATAGGTTTAAGTGGCATAATAATCGATATATCGCAAAGCACGCCACGCCACTGAATTTCAGGGACTGCCAGAGCATAGAGCAACAGCGCTGCCTCGCGCCGCACAGTGGATCGAGTCCATCAGAGAGGTCGGACATGAAATTTTTGACTAAAACTGCGAATTTTGATGTTATATTCGTCAAATTTTAAATTCCAAGGGGTGCCATTAGAAGAAAATTTCAAGGGAAAACCAATGGGACCACTTTCAAAAACTCAAAGTCTTGTATAAACGGAGTTATAAGCTTTAAAAGTTTCAAAATTTGTCCGACCTCTCCCATCGACTCGACCCACAGTGCGCCGGGAAAGACGTTGGAGACGTTTAGGGTGTTTGCGTTGTTACGAGCTGAACTATTGGAACTGACGCGGGCGATCGTATCGGCGATAATTGGAATTGATCAATCAAGTGGAATCGCTCCTTTTGCGGCCAGACGGCTCCTAATTATTATTAGTTTTATGCCCGAGGGAAATCCTGTTCGATATCAGTGGCGTGGCGTGCTTTGCGATATATCGATTGATCGACCATTTAAACCTATGGAAAAGTATCGATAAACAGGGCGTTCGCAGCGAACACCTTAATAATCGATTATTTGCCACAGCTTCAAATGGGGAAATATCGATGGATCGCTAAGCACGCCACGCCACTGTTCGATATCCTCTCATCACAACTTTGCTCCGAAAATTAACTTGCAGGTCAGGTTGGCCTGCGGGCTGATTGATGAAATTGGTAGACAAAGCTATAGACAAAGAAGACAAAAAGGATATGCACGGATCCTGTGGATGTAAGTGGATCGTTGCAATGGACATAGAGGTAGGTAATAGACTAACTAACGACAATCCACGAGACCCTTGAAATTGTCCAGCATTTGCTCCCTTAGCCTATAAGAACCACCCGTTTTAACCGATATCATCGCACCATACTCCTTATGTCCTCCTCGTCTATCGCTTTCTCTATCAATTCCAAAGATCAGAATGCAGTAGAGGAGGTCTCGTGTTTGTGTCACTGAGCGGCTCATTAAAAAAGTTTTATGTTCCCCCTTAAAAATAAATAAATAAATAAAATAAAATAATTTGATTATAGTAACTAGTGACTACTGCAAGAAGAATACTGCTGTGCTAAGGAAAAACGTCGTATGAACATTCGAAAGTTGCCAAATTTCCCCGGCTAAAACAGGTGTTTTTGAGGAAAGATATTGGCATTTTTTCTTGAAATTATTAGATATTTTAAATCAAGTTGCGAACAGAAAATTCAACAAAAAAAATATTCATCATTTTCCAAGGAAATTTAGTTTTTAATGAAGGAAAACTGTCAAAGTCTTAAGGCTCACACGGCGTATTTCCTTAGCACGGCAGAATATTACTTGTTTCCGTAACTGTAAATTGGTAAATTAGTAAATTTGTATGATTTAAGAATTAAGGTAACAAAGTAACATAAGATGATTCATTTGAAATGTGGAACTACAGGAGCGCGGACCTCTATTGCGGTGTTTTAAAATATCTGTTTCAATTTAATTAAATTAATTGAGAAAAAGCTAACCTAATTATTTAACATTTTCGTAGATTACTCTTCACAGAGAGAGAAAAAATCAAGGATGTGATGTGTTTAAGAATGACGTTGAGTATATTTTTTCCATTTAAAAAATGAAGTATGACAGCAGGTCTGCAACGTCGAAAATTGAATTTAGCGATTATTGCCGGCTTTGTGTGACCGGTTCATTCGATGCATCGAAATAATGAACTGAATAGGTAATGGCCTTCAGAAGCATGCACTCGGCTTAGAGCGCCTTCATTTTTTGTGATACTCTACGCTTTGTCGCGGAGTTAGTTTAGTTGTATGACCCAACTAACCCAACTGAGGTCACAGCTTTTACAACACGCTCTCAAATGTGTCTTTCATTATGATGTTTTTACGTAAGATAAAAAACGTCTATTGAAACTAAAGAACTCAGTACTCTGATCTTATGTTCTAATTTATCTTTATTTCTGCATTAAATGCTTCTGTAATCAATCATTATCGGATGAAATGTCTTTTTCACTTTTTAGCACCAGCTGTGCTACGTTCTTCGCATATTTTGTATCTGCGTATTTACGATGCTAACTGATTCCGCCACGAAAAACTTTTATAATGCTTACAGACAAACTTAACGGGGCGGTAACTGCATAAACGGCGGCAAAGAACTCTGAGAATCGTCTTGGAATAAGCTTATAAGTTGAGTTTTGCAAACATCAGAGCTTCGTTTGCATATTCACACGCTTCGCAGAACATCAATTTGCTTTGTGCAAATGCCAGGAAATCATGGAAAGCGATGCATTGGTTTCCCATTTTCAAACCTGGGTTTCCGTGTACTAATTGGATATTCGAGATATCAAAAAAATCAAGGAAACATGCTTCAATTCGGATATGATATTAAAAGGGGTAGATATAATTTTCGTTAGTTTTTTTAATGGAGAGCAGAGGAAAGAAACCTTAAATTGATCAAAACCTATCCAAAGAAATTGCAATAAAATTAAATCAGATTGATTTTTGAATCATTTCTTAATCGATTTTCATTTTGGTGCGATGAAAATAACAATTCACTCTTGATAAACCGCAATTCGGTTATCGTTTCATTATTTTTGTTCACATTCGCGGTACCGCCATCTTGATGCACTCATTTGTGACTCCATGAGCGAGAACCAATGAGAATTGGATTCTTTTTAGGCCACTTTCAGCCCAACCAAAAGTGAGATGTCGTAACTCTGGTTATAAAGGGACTCTAGATATAATCTCACCCGTTTAATGTATCGAATACGATCTATTGATCAGCGTTCGAAACTCACCTTTGAGTTTTAGGAGCCATGTGGCGCATTAAGTTCGATTTTTAGGGGCCATTGAAGAGTTTTTAGGGGCCAGATTGACTTTTTGCCAATATATCAAGGCGCATTTAGTGAAAAGTTATACGCAAGATGTTTTAGTCACAGAACTAGTAACTATGTAACTTGGGGGAAATTTTGAAAATTCACAAAAAAGAAAAATTAGGATTTTTTTTTTTGGGGGGGGGGGCATTTTTAGGGGTCATATTGGCACAGAGCCTTCATTTTTTAGGCGCCATGACCAATTTCTTAGCGGCATTTGGCGCGTTGGCGCCCATGAGTTTCGAACACTGCTATTGATATTAAATCCCGTCGACAGGAAGACTCGAGACTCCGTTTCACGACTGGATCCGAGAAATGATTTCCTCATCTTCCCGAGGCTGAAACCACAAGCCGCGTGGACCTCATTTTCAAACGCTCAAATGTTGCGATTCATTGGCGTGTGAAATTATCGAAGACCCTCCGAAGGGGGGGAGCCTAACTTTCAATCCTCTGTTTAACTTGGTCCCAAAGTCGATGTATCAAAGCCGACGGTGAGGTCTTTTTCGAGGTAATTTATTCAAAAGTTAGAGTCCTACGCAAACAGCAGCCACGTCCAATCCGTTTTCTCTCACCCCCTCCAGGCTCGCTCCCATCACATCCCGGGCTTTTGTCTTACGAGCGATTACGTCGACAATAATAGGACTTTTATTTTCCGAAACATTTTCCCAGTATCCTTGTTCCCTGCCTTGTTAAGGGAACTGTTTCTCCTAAACAAGGGATTCGGTTCAGATTAGCGAAGGTTCGAACACCATCGCGCGCTTCCCATAAAAGTCTATTTCGACAGTCCCGAGCGAGGAGAAATAACTTTCTTGGAAGAGAGTGGTCTG